GACAGTTTGTGGTAAATGTCAAACTTTGTTCTGAAGTAATGGTTTGAAGTCCTGCTTGATTGTTCCACACCTTAAATCTTGGTTTTTCTCATCTTACAAAATTAAATTTAATGTGGCTAATTTATACTCCGAAATTACAGGGTCAGCATTTGGGACTCGGGAGAATAGGAGATTCACATTTTCTGGACCAATCAATCTACGTGCGGGAACAAATAAAATTGCACTTCTCAGCATAGCTGTCGGTTTGCCAGTAAGCTCCCTAAATCTAATGTCAATACCTCAGAATGAAATGTGGCAGCCATCTGATTCCGGAAGTGCAAACTAGCATTGGATTGTTCCTTAATCTTTAATCTATTATCATGCTGCAAAGGACCTGTCAATGAACTATAGCAGCTTAAGCATTAATGTCATTCATATCATGATCATTATTTAGTTCCTGACAACAAAATTTTTGGTCTTGCTGAAGAATGTTGGTTTGCACTATGAGAGGTGGGAAACGGGTATCCTAGGACCAGTTTCGTTGCATGGACTTGACCAAGGAAAGAAAGACTTGACTTGGCAGAAATGGTCCTACCAGGTTGGATAATATACATTCAAGAATGCTATTTCTCCTGTATGCTTCTAGTGTGCCTTGCACTTGCAACTTTGTAAAACAGAAATTCTCTATACACAGGTTGGTCTAAAAGGAGAGGCAATGAATTTTGCCTTACCAAATGGAGCCTCGTCTTTTCAATGGAGCAAAGGCTCACTAGCTACGCAAAGCCAGCAGCCTTTGACATGGTATAAGGTAAAGCAAGATACACAGTAATCAAAGGAGTCATTAAAGAGGAATGAACATTTTCTAGGGTTGTAAAAGTTAAACATTGACATGGTTTTTTGCAGGCTTATTTTGATGCACCAAAAGGAGATGAACCATTGGCTTTAGATATGCGGAGTATGGGAAAGGGGCAGGCATGGATCAATGGACAGAGCATAGGGAGATATTGGATGAATTATGCAAAGGGTGACTGTCATTCTTGTAGTTACTCTGGGACATTCAGGCCTCAAAAGTGTCAAAGTGGATGTGGGGAACCAACCCAAAGATGGTATTAGTATTTCATAGATTCAACTGCTGCATCCATGGACACACAGAATGCCAAAAGATAAAAAATTCAATGATCTTGAGTTGTCAGGTTTATCTTTAGTTTAATTTTGTGATTTTTCAGGTATCATGTTCCGCGGTCCTGGTTAAAGCCAACAAGAAATCTGTTGGTACTTTTTGAAGAACTTGGTGGAGATCCATCAAAAATATCTCTGGTAAAGAGAATGGTTACTAATGTATGCGGTAATGCCTATGAAAATCACCCAGCCATGTATGATTTTAGCATTGCATACCACAATGAATCAGTCAGAATTCCCCAGTCAACATTTAGTCTGAGCTGTGCACCAGGGCACTCAATATCATTGATTAAATTTGCAAGTTTTGGAACTCCATCTGGAACTTGTGGGGGTTTTCACAGGGGGGCATGCCATGCGCCTAACTCCCATGCCATTGTTGAGAAGGCATGTCCAGAACCATAAACTCCATGCTTTTTCTTTCTTCTTTTCAAGTAACCATTAAAATAGTTGCTTGTGGTCATATACTAATTTGTGCCCCT